AACAAGACAGGGATGCCCACTTTCGCCACTCCTTTTTGACATAGTACTGGAAGTACTAGCCATTGCAATTAGACAAGAGGAGGAAATAAAAGGCATCCAAATTGGAAAAGAAGAAGTAAAGCTATCCTTATTTGCAGACGACATGATATTGTACATAAAAAACCCAAAAGACTCCATTAAAAAACTAATGGGCTTAATAAATGAATTTGGCAATGTAGCAGGATACAAAATTAACGCCAAGAAATCCATGGCATTTCTATACACCAACAGCGAAACTATAGAAACAGAGACTAAAAAAGCAATTCCATTCACCATCGCACCAAAAAAATTAAGATACCTAGGAATAAATTTAACTAAGGAAGTAAAGGACCTATATGCAGAAAACTACACGACACTGAAAAAAGAGATAGAGGAAGATGTAAACAGATGGAAGAACATACCATGTTCATGGATTGGTAGAATCAACATCATCAAAATGTCCATACTTCCTAAAGCAATCTATAGGTTCAATGCACTCCCCATTAAAATACCAACGGCATACTTCACTGACCTAGAAAGAACTCTCCAAAAGTTCATTTGGAACAATAAAAGACCCCGAATAGCCACAGCAATCCTGAGAAAGAAGAGTAAAGTAGGAGGGATCTCAATACCAGACTTCAAACTGTATTACAAAGCCACTGTTCTCAAAACAGCCTGGTACTGGCACAAAAACAGACATATAGATCAATGGAATCGAATCGAGAACCCAGATATCAACCCAAATCACTATGCTCAATTAATATTTGACAAAGGAGGCACGAATATACAATGGAGTCAAGACAGTCTCTTCAATAAATGGTGTTGGGAAAATTGGATAGATACATGCAAAAGAATGAAACTGGATCACCAACTTACACCATACACAAAAGTAAACTCAAAATGGATACAGGACTTAAACATCAGACGGGAAACCATAAAAATACTAGAAGCATCCACGGGCAGCAAAATCTCAGACATATGCCAAAAGAACTTCTTCACTGATACTGCCCCTAGGGCAATGGAAGCTAAAGAGAAAATAAACAAATGGGACTACATCAAAATAAAAAGCTTTCTTACAGCAAAAGAAACCATCAACAAAACAACAAGAAAGCCCACGATGTGGGAGAACATATTTGCAAATGTTACCACTGATAAAGGTTTAATCTCCAACATCTACAAACAGCTTATACAACTAAATAAAAGGAAGATGAATGATCCAATCAAAAAATGGGCAATGGACCTAAATAGAATATTTCCAAAAGAAGACAGAAGGAAGGCCAAAAGGCACATGAAAACATGCTCAAAGTCACTAATTATCCGAGAGATGCAAATCAAAACAACAATGCGGTACCATCTCACACCTGTCAGAATGGCCAACATCAACAGATCAACAAACGACAGGTGTTGGCGAGGTTGTGGAGAAAAGGGAACCCTCGTGCACTGCTGGTGGGAATGCAGACTGGTGCAACCACTGTGGAGAACAGTGTGGAGTTTCCTCAAAAAACTGAAAATGGAACTCCCATTTGACCCAGTAATCCCACTCCTAGGAATATATCCCAAGAAACTAGAAACACCAATCAGAAAGGATATATGCACCCCTATGTTCATAGCAGCACAATCTACAATAGCTAGAATTTGGAAACAGCCTAGGTGCCCATCAGCAGATGATTGGATCAAAAAACTTTGGTACATCTACACAATGGAATACTATGCTGCCATAAAAAAGAAGGAATTCTCATCATTTGTAGCAACCTGGATGGAAATGGAGAACATCATGCTGAGTGAAATAAGCCAGTCATTGAAAGAAAAACACCACATGACTTCACTCATTTGTGGATAATAAAGAACATTATAAACTGATGAACCAAAAGATAGATATAAAGATAGTATATCAACAAGCAGACTGTCAAATTACAGCAGGGAGGGGAGGAAGATCTGGGGGAGATAATAGATCAACCAAAGGACTTTTATACATGCACATAAGTACAACCAATGGACATAAAACTCTGGGGAGGGAGGGGATGTGTGGGAGGGAGGGAGGGGGGCAAAAAAAAATCAAAAAAATATATATATATTAAAAAAAAAAAAAAGACTGAAGAAAGGACCTCTTTTCCACTATTTCGAATGCTTAATAGCTAATTTCATAACATCACATGTACCATTTTAAGAAAGTGATGATTTAGTGGGAAATTAATGCTTTGCATCTGTATACTGTAAATATAAATGATGATTTGTTTGAAATGTGTAACTAGGATATGCAAAAGATAATAACTCACAATGTTAATATTAAATATTACTTCAAAATAAAAAAAAAATAAAAAAAAATTAAAAAAAAAAAAAAAAAAAAAAAAAAAAAAAAAAAAAACAAATAAAAACTATATAATGTGTTAAAATAATAAATACATATACTATAGAAAATTTAGCCGAGACCGGTTTGGCTCAATGGATAGAGTGTCGGCTTGGGGACTGAAGGGCCCCGGGTTCGATTCCGGTCGGGGGCATGTGCCTTGGTTGTGGGCATATCCCCGGTGGGGGGTGTGCGGAGGGCAGCTGGTGGATGACTCTCTCCCATCGGTGTTTCTGGCTCTCTATCTCTCTCCCTTCCTCTCTGTACAAAATCAATAAAATATATATTTAAAAAAGAAAGAAAATTTAATAAAACACAATTATATGTATTAAAAGTTCTCTATATTATGGAAAAATACTATATAAAATATTATTGAAAAATATAATTAATGATTATCACTTCATGGATAATTACAGGTCTTTTTCTTACATATAGTGTATATATTTATAAACATGAGTTTCTTATGCCATAAAGATGAAGTTATATTAAAATATTATAGATTTTAGACTAAAATGGCAAAATAGATTTTACACTAAAAAAGCTGGGCCACAGAAGGTCTCTCCCTAGTAGGTAAGAAAATGAATAAAAAATAGTAATGAATAAATAAAAGAATAACATTTATCCAACAATCAAACAAAAAAAGAACCACATGTCATCAAATTCAAAATGTGTTGAGACAAAAAACAGTTTATTTAATAGAGCTGAATGTGTAGCTCCTAACCTTATCGCCATGTTTCAGTAGTTACATTGGATAGAAAAGTTAAAATAACAAAACTCTCAACATTCTCATTAAGATCTGTATCCACTATTACCGGATTAGGGAGTAGGAAGCAGGCAGAAGTTGGGAGGTTGAAGAACTTATTCCAGAGACAGGTGAGGACAAGTTCTATGGAGAAAAGACCTTATCAACAGAGCCAATAGATTCCTAGGGCACTTGCATGCTCCCCATATTGTGAACAGAGGGGTTGCTGTCAGGAGAGAGGGATCTGTGTGGAGCTGTTTCAGCAGTCTTCTGGGGGCTGATCTGGGCATTTTTAACTTTAAGGTATTTCTTGGTAGTGGGTAAAACAATGAGCTTTCTCCTGTACTTGTCAGAGGAAGTCCTTCAGCCATTTCCTGTACTTTGTTGTATGGCAGCTTCAGCTTTTCTCACCTGCTCATCATGTAGCACAGATTTCGGACCCACTCTAGGCCTTGCTGAAGATGCATAAGCATTCTCACGTGAGTATGAGTACTTTCTGCCTTTGGCTGCACTGGGCCTTTTTCTTCATCCTCCTTCAGAGGAAATAATGGCTTATTGCAGTTACTTTTCTTCTTCAGTTTCCAGTAGTTATAAAGCCCACAGTTACTGTGGGCAGCCCAGTTCTGTGGCCACATCTCCACACTGACCAGGGCACAGAACTTCTCCAGTTCCCAAAGCTTCTGTGCTTGCAGGTTGGTCTTCTTGCTTTTGGCCTGGCTCTGCTCTGCAGCCCTGTATAGAGAATACTGGATCTCCCGAGATTCTATCTGATTGGGCTGTGTTTGAAGTAGAAAAACTTAAACTTCACTTCATATCCCTCATCTAGGATGGTCTTCATATCTAGGCTGTGCTCAAAGGCACAGACAACAGGGAAATCGGTGATGCAGCTTTTCACTGAGCACTGAAGGCAAGCCCTGTCTTTACCTTGCACAGGGAGCAGACTAAGGCCCACCAACAGGTGAGATGTGGGAGATCATTGTGAGTGGTTCCATCCTTTCAGGACAACCAATGCTGACTTCTGGAATCTATAGTGCACAGCTGACATGACCTGTCCTTGTGGTCTTTTTGGATCCACCTTCATTTGGACATAACAGGCTTGAGAATGAATGCCCAGGACACATGAGGGAGCCGTCCAGCTGCCTTCTGGGACTATAAGGATTCCATATCAAGTCAAGGTTACTGGCCCTGGGTGTAACCTGACGATGTAGTAGGATTTGAAGGCAGAGGAGAGACTCCCAGTTAGGCAGCAAAAAGTCTCTCCAGGGGACATACAGAGATGTTATACTTATCACTGAACAGTAGATCATTTTCTTCTTCACTGTCTGGAGACGTGGACAAATCACAGATCACATCTTCGTCATACTCTATGCCTCGCCCTTCCTCTGTCACAATAGTATGGCTCATATTTTCATGTCATTGGCATTCCAGGACTTTTGTCTTTTCCATAAGATTCTCATCAACTGGTTCACAACCCATTTCTGCAAGGTCTTCATTCTTAAAAAATATGTATTTTATTGATTTTTTTTTACAGAGAGGAAGGGAGAGGGATTGAGAATTTGAAACATTGATGAGAGAGAAATATCTGTCAGCTGCCTCCTGCACACCCCCTCCTGGGGATGTGCCAGCAACCAAGGTACATGCCCTTGTCTAAATCGAACCTGGAACTCTTCAGTCCTCAGGCCAATGCTTCATCCACTGAGCCAAACCAGTTAGGGTTACAAGGTCTTCACTGAGTTCCTGGAGCCAAAAGATGTACATGTCATCTAGGTCATAGTAGTACACAGATGACATCTGCTCCTTGGTGTTGATATAGCCATGCTCTGTGGCCCCTGGGATAGAGCAGTAGATGTACTTCCAAAAGAGGATAAACAGAACATCCTTTTAACTTCTGGATTACAATTCTGAGGGAAGGCTGTGGAAGAGTGCCTGTTTTGGCTTGTACCTGGACTCCCTTTTCCCATTCTTATTCCCATATATCCTTAAAGAGGTAATAGGATTAATGTGGTGAAAATCTAAAAGTGTCATGAGGTCATTCTGGAATACCTCAGTAGAATTCTTATGTTCATTTGGGATTTTTGACTTGTTCCTATATACTGAGCCAGTAAGGGAAGTGGAAGGAGTCTCATCAGAACTGTCACTGCTGCTAAAAGTTCTATGACATTTCATTTTGGAACATGGTCAGAAGGCCAGGCTGGGAAGTAAATTTAAATCAGGATTTGGCAAGTGTTTTCAAACAGATACATCAACCTGGAGGATGATCAATACTAAGGCCACTCTTTTTTCTTCTACACTGCCTCCTCCTCGCTTCTACTGGTCTAAGTTGGCACCCTCCTCTATGCAGTCATAAAATTTGCCATGTAATTGGGACAGGAATGCACAAATAAAATTAAAGATGCATTAAGAACACCCATTGTAAAGAGAGATGAAAGCAATTGAATTATCCCAGTCCTAGCCAGTACTTACTAAAGGCAGTAGAACCAACACAATCACTCCAAACACAATCATTCTTTACTTCCCAGAGTTAGAGAGGAGTCAGAAAAGAGAAGGCCACTGGGACTTGCATCCTAAGGAGAGCTTAGTGTTAGCAATGAAGAATTATATTCCCTCCAATGGAGGGGAAGAAGGGATTCTCCTACTTAAATAATGGAAAGACTCCCACAGAATTAGATCTTGGGGATGTCCACAAAGCAGAGAACCTGAAGTTTGTCTACTCCCTGGCTGAATGCTTGCTGAGCCATGAAATCTTTGGGCTCATCATGTTTCCTTGTCCAGTGAAAGAGATATGGTAAAGGAGTTCAGCATCACTTAGAGTTGTAGACTTTGCATTGTAAGCACCGATGACTACTGTTCTTCCAGAGATTTTAGGAGGTTCAGCATGATTTGTGCAGACCATTCTAGCTGGGTAGTGGATCTGGCAAGGAAAGGATTCCTGGCCTTGTTCTCTACAACACTTGAAATACCTCCATGGTTCCAATGATTCCATATGAATCAAAACAGAGTTCAGAGAAGCAGGCAGAATCTTCAAAGTTGGCCAAATGATAATTACACAATAAAAATGTAGCTTATAAGAAGGAAAGAGCCAAAGGAAAGTGAGTGCTACTTTTACTGGTAGAAGAGTTTTTACCGATGAATAGGACACAGTGAGCTGCATGCCAACTCAGAAAAACCACAGACAGTCTATATTGAGACAGCACATCAGCAGAGGCCACCAGCAGTAATGAAACCAAACCAAGTCAGACAATGTCAGAGATGCCGATATACCACTGCTATGAGTGGCTATGAGTGGAGAAACCTCCCTTCTCTCCCTCCCTCCCTCCCTCTCCTCCTTTGCCTTTTTAAAAATCTTTATTGTTGAAAATATTATTATGTCTATTTTTTTCCTCCCTTTTAAAAGATATAGATATATTAGAGGGAGAGAATGCCAACAAATTATTTTTAAACAATTTAATAGGGGTTTGTGAATAAGTGTATGCTTAGGACTGGGGAACCAGGGTTGGCATGGAGAAAGACATTAACAAGGTAGGATAGATGCTCCTGCTGCCATAGCAATAGTCTAATAGGGGACGACTGCCAAGCCCGGCCTAGATATTTCAGGCTCCAGCTGTATGAACAGGTGTTCCCACATTGATGAAGCTGTTTACATCTAACAGAGGACAATTTAAACTTTAAGGAGACTCCAGCCTAAGGTACTTTTCTTTTAAAAGCTAATGTGCTTATCATAAGATTTCATTCCTAGCAGGAAGTATTAAAAGCAATCCTTTTAAAAGAAAGTAGAAAAGTTGTGGCAATTTCCAGGTAAAATTATAATTTCTGAGTAAAAATGTTAATAAATGAAGCTAAATCAAACTGAAATTATTTGATAATATTTTCACTAAAACTATAAATGATAGAACATACAATTTTATCAGTTAGCTTTTTTAAAAATACATTTTAAAGCTCTGAATAATGGAGCAGAACATTTTGTAATTATAGCCCAAAAGGTATTTTCCTGTTAATTAAGCAACAAATTAGATAATCCCATAATTCATTGTGGACATTAAATCTGTTTTAAATGAAAAGATGAACAATATGCCAAGTTATAGTTTGGGTATATAGCTATGGCTTAGACACAAACTGAGATAGAAGACTTAGGAAAGTATTAGGATAAAAATGGTAAAGAGTTAACTAAGTGCTATATCATATAAAGAAAGAGAAAAAGATGTTTTTCTGATCTGAATTTAAATGAATTGCACAAAATGACAAATAGAAATAAAAAATAAAAAAGTGAAAAGAAAACACAATAAAATACCTTTTAATTTAGATGAGAATTTTATTAGTATCTGTTTACTCTAGTTTGATTTTTTTTCTTCACGTCATTCACATTTTCAAGTTTAACTCACAAGAAAAAATGAAATACACATATAATTCAGATACCCTTTCTTATGAGCCAGAGAGACAAATCCCTTCCATTAAATTCCCGAATTAAGAGAAAGGGATTTTACTATGTGGGAGGTATTCACTTCTTAACAAGGGAGATGGGGCTTTGATGAGTAACCAGCTGAACAGCAGTTGTGCAATCACTTTTAGGACAGCAGAAGTCACTGCTGGGAAAGCATAAGGAAGCCTGAAGATTCCAAGGATAGAGGGAAGGGCTCCAGCTCCCTTGCTGGAATAAGGGGGTTAATGGCTTCAGATAAAGGTGATGTGGTTCAGTATTTCTATCCCAGAAATATACAGCATATAGTTCAAAAATTTTAACTGGATCTATAGCTACACATTTTATTAAGAAAAGGGAAAAGAAAACTAGAGAAAATTGGTTAGGGGCATCTTTACACAACAAGTTTTTTTTTTTGTTTTTTTTTTTAAAGTGTTCTTTGTTTCTCTGTATGTTACTCTGGGTTGTAATATTAAAAAACAAACAAATACATTTTAAAATGTCACTGCTCCCCTGCTGGAAACACTGTTGATTTAAATCTATAACTTTCTTCATTCCCTTTTAGATTCTCATTTTTAGCATCATAGTGGATAAGTTTAAGAGTTCTTACAACTCCCCTTGCTGGCAGCAAATATGAATTGCAGCTTTAATATGAATATGGAAAACTTCAGCATATTTACCCAGAAAATAATGGCTAAATATAAGATCATTTTTTAATTTTAAAACAAGATCTCTTCCATTTTTTATCTCTAAGTTTGAAACATAAATTAAAATCATGAAAAGTAGTAATAAAATTTTTTGGAGATAATCATTTTCAGAAGTCAGACCAATAATGGATTTTTAAAAATCTTTTTAAAAACAATTCATTTGATAGCTAGCTTCAAATATTTATATTTTTAAAATATGTTTTAAAATAATATTATGAAATGGGGAAAAATAAAATAAAATAATGTTATGATATTTTGAACTTTTAGATTGTACCTCTCCTTGCTGCCATTTTCTCTCTGTAAATCCATTATCATCTATGGCAGAAATAGGAGGTTGATCAATCATTTAATGTGGTCACAACACTTCGCAGACCCTGGCTTGCAGATGGGTGTCACTTATTGGTCCACAAATACAAGATCTAGCCCATGACCCTCGCATCTGTCTCCTCCACTGCTAGTGATACAGAATTTTTGGACTGGAACCTGGATTGTTTGTCCACCGGAGTTGAAGAATGAATCCATGGGCAGAAGATGGTTTAGCAAAGTTGGAGATTTATTGAAGAACAAGTATAGACTTCCACAATGGAAGGGGAAAAGTGTCCCACAGACTTCCTGTTTCTATGGTTTATAAAGGCTGCAGTTCCTGTGCCCTGATGTCCCCTCTGATTGATCAATATTCCCTATAGAATTGGTTACAATAGTAAGTCCTGAAGCCCTCCTCCCACAGCATCCTTTTATTCCTTCTGGGCTTTCTTCCTTCTTCTTTATTTTGTAAATATAGACCTTTTTTGGCTACTTCCAGTTCCCTTGTCTTATGGAAATATACTTGTTGCTGCTTCCTTGTCTTACAGAAATGTACCTTCTCCCATACTGTAACCCTGTGTTTTTGTTCCATGGACCCCAATTCTAAAAATTCCCTAAACCTGCCTATATTTCCCTAAAATTCCTGTTTCACTAGGGTCACTGAGGAAGTCCCAGATGGTATCCCTTGGCCTAGGTAGTTGAGTATCTACATGGAGCAGAGTCCCTCTGTGTACCTCCTCTTCTCATTAACTTGCAGTGGACTTCAATTGAGTGAGAAATATCTATAAGGAGCTAAATAATTGAGGTTTTAAGGTTCTTTTGCCCTAAAAATTACAAAGTAGCTGATGTTTTAAGATAACTTGCTGCACATTAGGCACAATCCCGAACACTTTGTATGTCTCAATTCTTGTAACTGTGAAAAGGAAAATGGGGAGACTTGCAAGCTAGTTCAGTATCTGGTTAACACAATAGTCTTACTTCCCCACTCTGATTTGGGTAGAGCTGCAGAGCATGTCCCCAAGACCCTGTCACAGCTGATTTGGGTAGAGTCATAGGGACCCTCAGAGGCCCACCACAGAAGGAGATATATAGGTCAGAACCTCCCCAGGAGTTCAGTTCAGGCTTTGGGTCCAGAATTCCCCTGGACTAGCAGATCTGTAAAATAAAGGTTAACCTTCCTCTCTCAGAGTGCTGGCTGACCATTCTCCAGTGCATTCTGTCACAACATTTGGTGTGTTGGCCGAAAAATGTCAACACACCAAACAACAACAACAACAACAAAAAAAACTTCTCCAACACTGACACACTAAGGAAGCCCCCATGCCCTGAGCTGGCTCTTTAGGCTACTGCTGATGAGAGCCGACTTGGAGGCACTCACTGTGGGCTCTGGGACCCAAGGAAGGCGCGCCACTGGCACATTCGCCAGTTCCTGAACTCGTGGGGCCAAAAGGGACTGTAGGAACACCGTGCTCTGGCGGACCCAAAGGAGGCAGAAAACACCTTTCTGGGACTTCGTGGGAGGGAAGTCAAAATCAGATGTCTGAAACTGTTTTTCCCTGGTGAAATGGGTCTAATTTATGGCCTATCCAATGGGACAGAAGAGGTACTTGGCCCCTACCTAGGTAATTATTTACCTCAGGATAGCTAGGATCATCTGAAGGAATGGTTTCTAGACAGTATTCACCATTTTTGGGACTTCCAAGGAGGGAGTCAAAACTCAAACTGGCTAAGGGTCCAAGTCT